TGCTTCTTTTAAATTAGGACAAACTTTTGAGATTATCACACAGACTACCAGGCAGTTGTCTGGAATGATGTCTTGAAGAAGAGACTCCAGCTTCTGAGGATCAGGAATAGAAAACAAAGTGGCTTCACTCATGGACTTTTACAACTTTTCCAGGATTCTAATTGCACACCCTTCTGGAACAGTTGTTAAGAAGAGTTTTATCTTTTTACAGCCTCCTTCTCCAGGCATCATTTAGCTACAAGCTGGATCTGTATCCAGAGTTTTTTACGGTCTGATCCTGTCATTATCATCTTCCTCTTTAAGCACAGCTGCATAAAGAGTAACACTGAATTCCCCTCCCCCACCCAAATCAAAGCCACACATGAAACTTGTTATGTATGGCATGCAAGAATATGTATTTTAATTTTTGGCAATGGCTGGCTATCTTTCCTATTAGAATACTTCCTGCATTCAAAACATTTTCACTGATAAAACTGGGTAGGTTTAAAAATTGTTTCCCAGATTTCTTCAGTTTTTTTTTTCTCCTGAAATTCTTACTTTGAGTTAGTAAACAAGGAGGTAAATCTTAACATTTAAGGAGGAAGTAGTAAAAACATTAAACTGAGATGAGTCTACAGTGGAAATAAACAGTGTAATCTCATTCACTGTAACACAAATAGTGCACTTTCTCTGACTCTCTTGTTTACCTTGTTCAGATTAAAGTGGATTATGAGAATGTGAGGGGACATTTTCTTTGACTTTATAATACTCTACCATCATTGAAGGACTAATGAAGTAATGAAGAAATTCTATGCATAAGTTGGATATATAGGTTATTTCATTTTCCCTTAATTGTGAAATGAGGAATTATCATATTCTTAAACAAGACTGTAAAAAGTTTTAGGAACTCTTCTTACTATATCACATTTTAGTTCATCTTATAAAAATGAAAGCAAGGATTTATACTGCAAATTATTTTCTGTAAGTTTCAATTTCCCTCTTTTGATTGTTAGTTTCATTTGAAATAAAGTGACACTCTTTAAGAAAAAAAAAAGGGAGTATAAGGAAACCAAATGAAGATTCCAGCAAATGGCATCTTATCTCCAGAAATTAAGTGTGAGTGACTCATTCTTTAGTGTGAAAGCTTTTGAAATAGACGTGACAAGTAGATTCCCTACATACAGGTCCCAAAGCTGAGTCAATGCCAAATAGAATGTGTAAAATAGTAAAGAGTGGGTAACAGGACCAAAATATGATGTCTTCCTTACCAAGAAAAAAATCTCTCCCAGATAAAGGGTGGGTTTTGTGGGAACAGAGTATTAAAATGGTACATCTCCTTGTTCTAAAACTCAGACCAAATCTTAATGATATAGATTTTTGGCATTTTTAAAAATTGATTTTTTTTAAGACTGACTCATCATTTGGTACATGACTCTTGCTTCAGGCATTAGACAGGGAGAGGAGGTGGCATATGTGAGGTGACTCTGCACCAGGAATAGGAATTTGTGACCTACCCTGTCCTGTCCCCACTCCATACACTGGTAGGAGGTAGCCTAGAGATGCCGGCAGCTTAATAAGCTGATTCTTTGGACCCTAAGAGTCCCCAAGTGGAAAAACAGATAGGAAACAAACAAAACAAAAAGATGGGGAAGAACAAGCCTGACCGAGAAGCACAATGTGGGAGTATTTCCCCAATTCATTGCTGTATGTGTTTTCAGATTTTGTGAATTTGAGCTGTTTTATCTCTTGTAAAACAATTCAGAATCATATTACTACTGTTTAAGTTCAGATCCTCCTTTTTCTGGAAATGAAAAAGATAGGTTTGTTTTCTTTTATGGCTTTGTGGTTTGGGTTTCTACATTCCTGAGGAGAGTGGGTGAGAATGTAGACTGCCTACACTTAACTATTGGCTCCAACCACATGTACTTAGTTAACCTTTTTCAGCCTCAGCTTCCCTACCTGGGAAATGGGGATAACTCTAGCACTGGTCAGGATTAAATAGGATACTTTCTGTGAAGTATTTTTAATAAGGCCTTATATTTACTGCTACTCAACACCTGATCATTATTATACATATTATTGACAGCACAAGAAATAAACCTTATCAGGCTTTTCTATGCCCAGAGGGCTGGGGAATAGCACTACTTAGTAACAAATCTTTCCTTCCTTCATTTTATTTAAAGTGGTATCAGCCTATCTTACTACATACGAGTGCAGACTCCAGCAGCTGTTCCTACATCTTTCTGTGGTTTATCTGCACATTCATGCATGTATACCACAATGTCTTAAATACTACATAGCTTTATAACATTTTAGCAATATGAATAGGAAGAGTGTGCATATATTACATTGTATGACTTTTCAAAATATTTATTTATTTATTTATTTATTTATTTATTTATTTATTTGAAAGAGGAAGATCTTCCATTTGATGATTCACTACCCAAGTGGCCACAACAGCTGGAGCTAACCCAGTCTGAAGCCAGGAGCCAGGAACTTCTTCCAGGTCTCCCATGCGGGTGCAGGGTGCCACGGCTTTGGGCCATCCTTGATTGTTTTCCCATGCCACAAGCAGGGAACTGGATGGGAAGTGGGGTCTCTTGGATTAGTGGCGCCCATATGGGATCCTGGCACTTGGAAGGTGAGGACTTTAACTGCAAGGCTAATGCACTGGACCCCACATTGTTCTATTTTTAAAAGATTATTATTACTTTTTTTTTATTTGAAAGGCAGAGTTATAGAGAGAAGGAGAGGCAGAGATAGATAGAGAAATCATCCACCTGTTGGTTCATTCCCCAGATGGCTGCTATAGCTGGAGCTGAGCTGAGCTGAAGGTAGGAGCCAGGAAGCAGAAGCTTTTTCCAGGTCTCCCACATGGGTACAGAGGCCCAAGGATTTGAGCCATCCCATGCTGCTTTCCCAGGTCATAAGCAAGGGGCTGGACTGGAAGCAGACCAGGTGTCACACGAACTGGCACCCACATGGGATGCCAACACCAAAGGCAGAGGCTTAGCCTAGTATACCAACAGCCCCTATCGTATATATTTTTAAATTTTTGCTTGGTGTCATAACTACTTTTTCATCTCTTCCCTGTGGTATTGTTAAACATTTTAACCAGATATTGTAATGAGAATACATGATTATATTCAAATATACAGTCTGATATTTCAGAATATCAGAAATATCTACTTATTTACTTTACAGGTAAATATTTACTTATATTAGTAATGTACTCCATACAACTTAAGCCTTTCATTTTAAGTACTAGAGTACTTCGGATGAAAGAAGAAATGCTGTTAGGATGCTAGGAATGGGAATGTCAGAATGGAAACTTATTAGTGAATGAAGTTCAGATCATCAGTGTCTACTCAACTTTTGGTCATCAATACCATTATCTATTAAGTCAAATAGAAATTAGACAGTTGCCACCTGTGCTATGCAAAACTCTTACCATTGGATGTGTTGTGGAAGGTAAACCTCAGATTCTCCCAGGAGTTGCCCACTAATAAGTGATAGATTTATTTCTGATCTTTGTGTTTAACGATTACAGTGGGGCATTTTTGTCAAAAGCATTACTGCATTTTAAGCTACCAATGGATTTTTTTTTTATTTTTCGTTTCAGTGATGAATTCATTTTTAGTAATGATATTAAACACTTGTTTCAATAATAGTCATAAATTCATACCAAGAATATTCATTTTAATTTTAACGACTAATGGAATGGGCTTTTCAAACAATAACAATTTTAAGATTAATTGTAAATGATCACAGCATCTGTAGGCACCTACATGTTCATCGAGAGAGTGGGTCTCTAATTGCTGTGGTAATGGGACTCCTTGAGACAAGGCGATTGTCAGGAGCACGTGTTTGAAAAAGTTGAAAGTTCTTTAAAATTTTTTTAAAGATTTATTTATTTTTATTGGAAAGACAGATTTACAGAGAGAAGAAGAGACAGAGAGAAAAATCTTTCATCCCCTGGTTCACTCCCAAATCACCGCAATGGCCGGAAGAGCTCCTATCCGAAGCAAAGAACTGGGAGCTTTTTCTGGGTCTCCCATGTGGGTGCAGGGTTCCAAGGCTTTGAGCCATCCACTGCTGCTTTCCAGGGCCACAAGCAGGGAGCTGCAAGGAAAGTGGAGCAGCCAGGACAGGAACTGGTACCCATATGGGATCCCAGGGCGCATGCAAGTTGAGGACTTAACCACTAGGCTATCACTCTGGGCCTGAACGTTCTTTTAAATTTAATGTCAACTAATTAAATAGTACATTAGAAATTATCTGCACAGCACTGTATTAAAAATAAAAGAATCACATAATACATTGTGAAGTTCTTTTTAAAATATATGTTTAGTTTGAATTTTGAATTATGTGGTACAATTTCGAATAGGCTGGGATTCCCCTCTAAAACATTGTGATGTTCTAACTTAATTCTGTATAGTTCCTGCCATGAAATCCAGGTGGCCTTTTTACTAAATTCCTGACAGCCATATGTGAGCATTCAGGAAAGGCCTAGGAGCTACATGAAGGGTTTTCCAGAATGAGATAAAGGAATATTTATGTTGTCAAAAAAATTACGAAATGATTTAGGTATGAAAAACACCAGAGAACATAACAACATTGTGTATTCACCACTTAGCTCAATAGCCACCATCACAAATCTAAAGAGTATCTTCATTTTTCTAATGTTAAGTTCATCCATTGAAGATACAAGATTTCCAAGCCCTTCGATTTCCTTTTGTCAAAGGTTATCCCACACAGCATTATGTTCGGCTTTCCTTCGGCACTGTAAGGAGGACACGCAGATACTGGCAAAACTGCTCAGATTCATCTCGCCTGGGTCAGCGAATAACCAGCAAATGTGTACTGTAGTTCTAAACAACTGAGGCGAGACTATTGCTGTTTCGCTTCACTTAGAGCCCATTAATGTCCCTTGTGGGCACCAGCCCTCTTGAGCCCTTTTGTGTTGGAGAACCATGATTTTCTAAACCCCATGCAGGAGCAAAGGGAAAGAGCCATGTTACCTGTCCACACTCAGAGCGCAGAGATTGAGGACGGTGATGCCCACTGAGGACTTCTGCAGAAATGGAAACAGCTTGCAGAGAAACACTCCGAATTCACTGTGTTCAAAGGGCCAGCGTCCAGCCAGCAGCTGCAAAGAGGAGATGGCACAGTCAGAAAGGCAGAGCCCTGGAACCCCCGAGCTCAGGCACACATGTCCCAGCTCTCAACATTATTCAATGTGCTTTCCAAGTTGGCAGGGAGCAGCGGATTACTTGACCATTTCCCCCCTTTTTGGTAGATAATTTTTTTTTTTACTTAAAAATTTTTAACTGACACATAAAAATTGTACCATCATTGGGGTATCGTGTGATGTTCTCTACATGCATATATGGCATAATATACAATCAGAATAAGCATATCTATCTTGGCAAACACAGGATATTTCTTATGATAAAATTATTCAAAATCATTTTAGTCTTGTGTTGCTTAGAGAAATATATAGTACAACGTCCTTATTTGTAGTCACTCTTCTGTGTGACAGAATAGAATTGATTGTTCTTCTCTAACTACAACTTAGTATCTATTGATCAGTCCTTCCCATACCTCGCTCCCAGCTTCTCTCTCCAGCCCGTGAGAATCACCATTCTACTCAGTGAGATCAACTTTGTCTGGATTCCACACATGAATGAAATAATCTCTTTCATGCATTAAAGACTCAGTGAGTTTTGGTCTGGGCAGAGTGAAGTATCTGTAGTCATATAGTAGAAATTAAAGTGGTAATTTAAATGCTTATAACCTAATGAACTCAACACATATGCCATATATTATACACTAAATGTAAGTTATGAGAACTACGTAGAACAGAAGATCTAAGCATTGGGAGTCATTTGAAAGTCATGTTGCCTGCTTTTCAGAGAGCAGCACAAGTTTCAGATATGGGAGCACAGCTTAATGGAGAGGCAGACAGTGCATGGTCTCTTATCAGTCCTTACTAATCCATAAGTAAAGCAAGCTGCCCTGACCAGTGGCACTGGGGGATTGCATTATCTCAAGGCAGACAGGCAAAACTACGAATGAGAACTGAATAAGAATGCTAGAAAAGTGAAATGGTTTAAGCTGAGCTGATTTTATCAGCTAGTTAACACTTAAAGCCAATCTTAATAAAGATTTTTTAAAATTTATTTTACTTGAAAGAACCACAGAGACAGAGAAGCAGAAAAAGGTATCTTCCTTTTGCTGGGTTACTACCAAAACAGTCACAATGGTCAGAGCTGGGCTGCTTGGAAGCTGGGAGCCAGGAGCTTCCTCCGGGTCTCTCATATGGATGCAGCAGTCCAAGGACTTGAGCTATCCTTCGCTGCTTTCCCAGGCCATGATTAGCAGGAAGCTGGATCAGAAATGAAACAGCCAGGATTCTGGTGCCTCAGGCAGAGTATTAGTCTGCATGTGGCCTCAATTTAGTTTATATAAAGGGCAGATTTACAGACAAAGAAGGAGAGTGAGAGCAAGAGGGGCTTTCATCCCTTGATTCATTCCCCAGATGGTTGCAATGACTAGAGCTAAGTTCAGTCTGGAGTTTCCTCTGGGTCTCCCATAGAGGTGCAGGGTCTCAAGTATTTTGGCCCTCCTCTGCTGCCTTCCAAGGCACACCAGCAGGGTGCTAGATGGGAAGCGGAACAGCCGGAACAGACGGGACCAAACCAGTGCTCACTATGGGAACAGGCTTCATCTACTCTGCCATGGGACCGGCCCCTAAGGGCATTCTGAACTTTACAAATTATTCTGTACTTGGGATGTGACTTTGCTTCACCAAGTGTGACCTAAGTGGCCTTGCTCAAAGCGCTTCTTTTAGAGAATAACACAGTGGCTGAGATCTCTTCACATCCTTTACAGGCAAATCTATCCTTCTTGCTGACGATTTGGAATTTTTGCCCCCAGGTAAGGGTGGACATGCTGTAGTGGTTGCAGTGAGCAGTTCCCTGTGAGTGGTTGCTACTAATCTCATTAGGTATTACACTAGAAGCACAGGATTAAATAACAGTTCGATTACCTGAAGGGGGAAGGAAGTCTGCAGAATATGGCATGCCTTTCCAAGAGTAAAAAAATGGTACTGATTTCCTGTCTAGTTCTTGCGTAGTGACTCAGAATTAGGCTGACTTCATTTAACAGCCAACAGTATCTTCCTTAAAAACTGGACAAGAGTGCTTTTCTTCTTTTTGCAAACTACCTGTTGACACAGTCGTCGTAAGTTGAGCTTTAGATTTTTCTCCTATTATTTTTAGAAGATCACACAAGGTTTAATTTCATGATCAGTGTCATCATTAGCATGAATCCAAGGAAAGGCATTGGGAAACCAGTACTCCATAGACTAAAAAATCAGAGTATTCCATGTTTTAAGAATTTGGTAACATTGGCTTTTTGTAATTCTACTGTTAATGCTAAGATCCTGTATGAGTAATTTCATAGCTTCTTCTTTTTAGTTTTTTAAAGATTTATTTATTTGAAAGACAGATTTGATAGTGATGGAAGGAGATGAAGAGAGAGAGAGAGATCTTCCATACAATGGCTCACTCCCCAAATTGCTGCATGTGCTGGTGCTGAACTGATTGGAAAACCAAGAGCTTCTTCTGGGTCACCCACATGGGTACAGGGGCCAGAGGATTTGGCCATCCTCTGTTGCTTTCCCACGCATATTAGCAGGGAGCTGAATTGGAAATGGAGCAGCTGGGACATGAACTGGTACTCACATGGGATGTTGGTTCCACAGGCACAGGATTAGCCTGTCAGCCCCTAAATCCTTTCTTCTAAATGGTTTCCTAAAAGGACCTTTGTCTCCAATCTTTCTTGCCTCCAGTTTCTTCTTTTACCTCAGCATAATCAGCCTAGATGGGCATCTTCTCAGAATTTCCACATAAAGTTTTGTCCGAGGAAATTAAAAGGCTGTTTACAGAGACACAGTGCTAAATTCTCACAGATTTCATCAAGTTAACAAATAATTACATCATTGCTGTCTGCTGTTTATTGATGCCTGTCATAAATAGAGACATACAAAACCATTCAGGGAATGAACCACTCCAATAAGAATAAGAAAACTTGGAAATAGCTGTTTATAGAATAAGAGTTTAGTATTTTGGCCCAGAATTGCAATTCTCCCATAAAGACCACAGAGATGTAATTAAATTCTGTAGGAATCGTTCCAGGATATGCCTTGGAATAGATGAATGGTTTGTATTGTCACATTGCCGGAGATTGGGAGGATTCTTGGGGCCAGTGCTGTGGGTCAGCTGGTGAAGCTGCTGCCTGACACGTTGCCATCTCACATAGGCATTGCTTTGTGTTCCCTGCTGTTCCACTTCCCATTCAGATCCCTGCTAAGGGAAAGGCAGCAGAAGATGACCCAAGTGCATGGGCCTCTGCCATACATGTGGGAAACCCAGATGAAACTGTTGGTTCCTGGCTTGGGTCTGGCCCAGAGTCAGCAATTCCAGTCATTTGGGGAGTGAATCAGTGGATACAAGATCTCTCTCCTTCTCTGTCTTTCTCTTCAGCTCTGACCTTCAAATAAATATATTTTTAAAAGAGGATTCTGAAAGTCATATGAGTAGGTTTTCCAATTGCTGTATGCAACAAAGTGAGAGAAAACAAAAGGATGCTTCTTGTTTAATGGGGAAAGCTGGAAGCTTGCAACAATAAGTGACAACAGCTCACAACGGGGTGGAGGGAAACCATATCCCAACAGGCAATGATTCAGATGCTTTCAATCTCAATTAAACTTCTCCTTTTTCACATTTCCTTGGACTTTTAACTCAAGACAGGTTAGAGCTGGGTATAAAGGAAGGATAGAGAGGAAAGCTGTTAATGGAATGTTTGTCTTTGACACAAACAGGTCTGGTGGTGCTGGTGGTGGAGGTATTTTTCTTTTCTTCGGGACTGGACACTGGTTCTTAGAAGTACACACAAAAGGTAAGGAAATCAATAGGTGGAGGAAATTGTTGGCATGTGTTCCAGTGGCTTGGGATGCCTGCATCACACACTGCAGTGCCTGGGTGGAGTCTTTGCTACTCTGTTTCGAATCCAGCTTCCTGCCACTGTCCATCTTTGGGAGGCAGCGGATGATGGCTGATGTACTTGAGCCCTGCCATCCACATAGGAGGTCTGGGTTGAGTGCTGGGTGCTTGGCTTCAGCAGGATCCAGCACTGGCTATTGTGGGCATTTGGAAAATGAACTAACAGATGGAAGATCTAAGTATATCTGCCTTTAAACAAACTGCAAAAAGTTTTTAAAAACCCAGCAAAACCAACTCACTCATATTTAGCAAGAAGACATACACTAAGGAAAGGACATGAATAGTAGGAACAGCCTAACTTGCCTGTTACCTTTATCAGAAGAGGCATTCTGGAACTTTTGACTGCTGGAAATGTCTCCCTTCTGTTTTCTACTAGTACTTGAAATTGAAAGTGTGATGTTTAAAATGGGAAAAACTAAGCTGTCTAAAAACTGCTATAATCAAGTCAGGCTCCCAATCAAGACCTCAAAACACCCTGCCCAGAGGCAGCCCCTATTAATTGCCAAGTGTTTCTTCCAGCAAATGTCTTGTGTATACAAACCATTTGCTTTAAAAAAAAATATGGGGAAAATGAGAAAATAATACTTTATAACTCTCAGCTATGATCTTTTTTTTTTCCTAGGGTAGTTTTCTGGGAAGCACTATTACCTAATTAAAATTTTTGACATTTAAAAGCAAGTTTGTAAAACAATTTAGACCAGGACAGGAGTTAAGTAACTGTTTAGATAATATCTAGACCATGGAAAAAGAACTAGCTGATTTCTTTCATGTTAACAAACTACTAATTCCAACTAGCCTGACAAACGAAAAAGTCAAATTGGCTTCAAAGGTTATTCTGTCATATTTGAACAGTCATGGCTTTTTTTTTTTTTGCCACAAGAGAGTCTGCGTTATATTATATACACACACATATATATGTATATATATGTACATATACATATCTGTGTGTGTGTATATATATATATACACACACACAGTTTTATATATATATATATATACATATATATATAACTTCTTAGGACATCACACAGTACCTAGCACATAGTAGGTGTTCAATAAATCCATGAATCCAATTCATTAT